GAGAGAGAGAGAGAGACAGAATGGACAAAACAATTTCTTCTTTCTTCATATTCTAATAAAAATTTTTGAAATAGAAGGAAATTTTTTCCTTTAATACATTAAATTTCCACTTAACTCAATGGAAGGAACAAGAAGAAAAAACGACCAAACATTAATGTTGTGATCATAGATTCTACCATAAAAACATGACTATATAAGCTGGTGTTAGTGAGCATAGTTAAATTTCTCTTGTCTTTCTCTTTACTTCTTAATTTATAAATCAAAAATTAAAAATTATTTCATTTGAAGTTCTCATACACAACATCAAATCTAAAACATATTTCACAGCACCAAATTTTGTTGCGATCGTATCGCTTTATAATACAACAGTCTCATATGCAATATTGGTCAGTGAAATGAAGATTGTAATTCTGAAGCTTATTTGGGAAGCTCATATGCTTGCTTCTGTATATGTTAAGCCTAGTTATGAAAAGTTTTCAATAAGTGAATTGAAATATTGTACGCAATATTGTGTGCAGTTTTTCCATCTGACGATATTTATCTTCAACTCAATTCTAATTTACATATTTTCATTGCTTTCATATATTCTAGCATATATGTTTCCTTACAATGTCCAAAATCCTCAGTCAATTACGATTTCCCTTATTTTCATCGCAATTTTTGAATTTCCTCTCGTTGCTATACTCAAATATAAATTGATGACAAAAAATTTTTAAATCATTCCTTCAGACGAGTCACTTCCTGAACGGTCTCTCTATTTTATACCTTCCTTCTTGATTTCCACATTTTTCGACTTTAGAATTTTAGATTTGCTTGTTTATTGTTTACTTCCCTAAGAAAATATTTCGTGGAAGTTGGAATTGGTCGAAGTTTCAGTGTTTGATCTCATTCAACTGTTAAATGTATCGGTGGAACGCATTTATTAATTTTATCTTTCTTTTTGCTCTGATCAACGCCTACAGTGACGATTGCTTCGTTAATGAAGGCGGTATGTTTTTTTCCATCCTTTCCTCCATTTCAATTTTTCTTCAGTTTGAAGAGAGAAATATTTGATAATTTGATTCGGGAATTACCATACTTTCACACTTTCATAAGACGAGAAATTTCTTTTTAAATTTTTGCAAATATTTCTGCAAAAATAGCCTTCGATATTTATTAGCACAAATGAAAAGACCTGGAAGAAATTAATATTGTTTTTGAGTTGTGGAAAACCTTTGTATAAGCTTGGAACTTGATCAGTGACATTGGAAAGATTATAAGGAATTCCAATAAATTGAAAGATTCAATAAAGCTGTTCCAGGACGCCTTCTTTTCTTTTATCGCGAAAAAGTTCGCGAGGAGTCATTAAAATTGTCAAAAATTTTACACACAGTTCATCAATTAATTAAATATTATTAATCATTTCATTAATCAAGTAGGGACAAATGATGAAATTTAGGATATATTTGCTGTGATCAGGACATGGTAAAACTGATGCAAAATGCGATACAAGAGAATGATGGTTTGTTAAATACAGGGCTAAATATTCAAGTAGATGCGTGGTCGCAACGCGGCAAATTTGAAACCGTCGTGGCCTATGATGATTTCGCTTATAAACATCTTTTTAGGGTTATCTTTTTGCATATAAAACATGGCAAATAAGGGCAAATTAAAAATATTTTTTAACTAATCTAAAATAAAAAGACGAGATATAAGGTTAAGGGAATTGAGGGAAGGTCAAGGTTGACATTACTCTTATAAACCGCTACCATGGAAATGGATCAGTGTGGAAGAAATAACCGAAGTTCAAAGTAAATCTCAGTACCATACTTTGAACAAATGCA